GTCTTGATTTTATCAGTGGTTTTTTTTTTTTTTTGTACTGGGGGTTGAACTCAGGACCTTGTGCTTGCCAGGCAGATGCTTATGCCACTGAGCTGCTGTCAGTGTTGATTTATATCAACTCCTAAGAAAAACACCAATAATTCATGTTGACAGTGCATAGTTTTTGTTATTTAAGCTGTAGTTGAAAGTTCAGGAAATAATGCAAATGATTGTGATTTTTTTTTGGTGAAATGAAGCAAAGTTTAATAGTGTTAGAGAGTAGAATAATTGGGTCAAAATATATTTTTCTCAGCCTTACTGTGCCAGTTTAGTTCAGCACAAAAAGCTTCATTAAAATTTCTAACATGGAGTTCAGTAGGAACAAATGGAGCCTAGAATCTGGGGATTCAAGAAGGAGTCCTGTGATTGTCAGGGAGCTCTGGGAAGATGGGTTTGTTTGCTTGTGAAGAGGAAGGTGAAAAATACTTGCATGGGTACTGAAATGTGCCTCTGAGGCCATTAGAGATAGGCCTGAGAAGACGACTAAAGCACTGTCCAAGAAGAAAGCAGCCACTGGTGGACTCAGTGTCTTACTGCCGTCCCACTTGAGTGTCTCAGTATCCACATAAAGTCCCCTCACAGACAGCGCAGCAGGGAACAGTGAGAGCGCCAGCCCAGCTCAGTCAAAATAGCGTGCACAGGCAAAGCATTGGTCAGTAGAGAGCCCCCCCGACCCCGGATCCAACTGGGCAACTGTGGGATCATTTTAGAACATTTAGTGTTGACCATTGTGATCCCACTGTCTCTTCTCAAAATGTTCTGCTTAAATCCTAAAGTTAATAACAAATATAAGGAAACTAAAAGTGGAAGAATGGCTGTGCTCATCATTACAGTAATACGTGGGCAAGTTATTGTGCAGAATTGTACCTGAGGAGTCCAACCTCTCTGGGAGTTTACTCAGAACCAAAAGGGCCACCAATGCAGCTGAATTGTGTGCTCACGGTAGGATTAGCTCATCATTTCAAACTGTTCATTACTGAGTATGTGCCAGGGACATGTTACATGCTAGGCATGTTCTTGCCACTGGGGGATACAGTGGAGAACAACAGAAGCCCTCTTAGGGAGTTTAAATTCTTGTAAGAGTTGGAAGGGGGGTGGCACTTATTGGAGGGAACGTGAATGGGTGCAAAAACAAAAATAATCCAAACAAGAGGAGCTGAAAGCGTGATGTGGTGGTGGTGAGGGGCTGTATGCAGCTGTGGGGCTGGCGCAGGCTTTCCTGGCAGGCTAACGCTGGCAGTAGGGGAGAGCAGGCCTTGGAGCTCTGTGGAGAAGTGTGCTGCGTAGAGAGGGCACAACATGAGCATGAGTGTGTGTGCATCCTTGAGAAGCCACGAAGAGGAAGGGTGAGGAAGAGTGATCGTTCAGGGTGGGCCATGGGCCTTAGGCATCATGACCTTAACTCTGGGTGGTGGATTTTGAGCAAAGATGCAACATGTTATAATTTTGTTACGCTGATTCCATTTGGCCTTTTCGTGTGAAAACAGTGTAGGGCAGTGATGATGAACCTTTAAGGGATTAGTGCTCAAAGAATCCCCTTACTTATTGCAGAATGTTAACACTGCCATTGAATGGAAATACTGAAGTTTTAGGGTTTTTTTTTTTTTTTTTTTGGTGCAGGGTCTCACTACACAGCCCGTAGTGATCCTCCTGATTTCTGCCTCCCAAGTGCTGGGATTACAGATGTGCGCCACCACACCCGGACTCCATCACCAGCTCAGCGCACCCGGGGGCGGGGCCGACGTGGCATGCAGAGCCAGGGATCGAGCCCTGGCCCCTGCGCTTACCTAAGCAAGCACTAAAATTTTAGTTTTAAAAAACCTCGTAAACTAACATCTTTTGTCTTGAAAGAAAAACGAGTAACACACATTCCATAGTTTCACTACCACCAGTGTGGTAACAGCCAGCCGGGAGATTACTGCGGTGTTCTAAATGGAGATGAAGAAGTTGTGGGTGGATGGCAGGGACAGTGTGGGAGTAGGGAGGATTCAGGAGCATTTTTAAGAGCTAATGCTGCTGTGGGGTGTGGTGGCACAGGCTTGTAATGGCATCACTCATGGAGATTGCAGCAGGAGGATTGTAAGTTTCAGCACAGCCTCAGTGTTATAGTGACCTTGTCTCAAAAAAGTTAAAAAGGGTTTGGGGATGTAGCTTAGTGTGGAGTTCCTGGGTCTAATCCTGAGTTCTGAAAAAAAGAAAAAGAAAAAAAGAAAGATACTTAACACGGTTCGTTGCTGCACTGCACAGGAGATGGGAGGGGAAGAAAAAGTCCAGGGCAACTAAGGGATTCAATTGTCCACTGAGATGAGGTGAAGCCTTCAGAAAGACTGAAAGGGACATCAGGGACCCGGCAGTAGGCAGTGATACTCAGGGTGGAATGGCTAGAAGATTCAGAGATCGCTGAATGGGTACACCTTGAGGTCAGGGAAGAGGCCGTATTCTTAAAGGCATATGGATAGTGATGAGACCCATTAAAATGATTAGGAGGAGACTGTGCAGAGAAGAGAAATACGAGAGGGCTCGCTCGGCATGGTGGTGCACATTTAACCCCAGCAACTCTGAAGGCCGACGCAGGAGAATTTTGAGTTCAAGGCCAACTTGGGCAGCTTAGTGAGGTCCTGTTTCAAAGTGAAATAACCAGGGATGGCTGTATAGCTCAGCGGTAAGCACATGCACAAGGCCTTGGATTCAGTCACCTGTGACATTAAGAAAGGAAGGGGAAAGAAAAGCAGCATGAGAACTGATCCTAAGTTTCTCGGCACGCAGAAGTTGGGAAAATAAGGCTGAGGAGTGGCTGCTGAAGTGGGAGGAGAATTCGGAGGGTGTGGGAGCCTGAAACCAGGCCAAGGGCGTGCTCAGATAAGAGGTAGGTGATCAGCTCTAGGCACTGCTCGATAGGTCCAGTGAGGTGAGGACTGGAAATTAACCCTTAGGGCAGCAAAAGTGGTTGCAGCTGCTTTTCATCCAAGTGCCTTTAAATAAATTCAGTGAATGTCTCTTTGGGGATGACAGTTGTCTTAGTTACTTTCTCATTGCTGGGACAAAAATACATGACACCCACAAGTTAAAGGAGAAAAGATATTTTTGTTCACAGTTTGTACAGATTTCAGTCCAGAGTTGGCCTGCTCCAAAGCAGGGGAGGGAGGCCACGAGCACCACAGAGGAGAAACAGTCCGTGGCAGAGAGGGGCCACGAACCTTCTTCACCCCTTCTTATTCCATCCAGGCTGTAGGCACTCTGGTTGGCTCTTCCCTATTCATTAAATACACAGTCCACACCCAGAACTGTACTAAACCAAGTAGCTGGCTAATCCAGGACCACACACCTGGGATCCCGGGTCACACTGCCAGCCAGTTACTCCCCAAGCCCCTCCCACAAGTGCCCGAGGCTTTAGAGGCACATCTGGATGTAAGCCATCATAATAGTGCTACCTGCCTTACAGTTCCAAGTGCCCATCACAGTACTGGTGCTTGTGTTTTTCGAGTAGAAGTCTGAAAACATTCACCAGGAGCAACCTCTGGGGAGCAGTGAGATGAAAGCCAGGGTGGACCAAGCTCACGTGAAGACAGGAAGCAGCTGCTGAGAGAACAGGGGCACTGAGTGCTTAGCATTCCTCTAAGGCTCGATTAGAGAGATGAGGGGTGTGAGGGGCTAAAGGGTAGGCTGGCTTCTATCCCTGTCTTCCTCTGTCTCCCTTCTTTGCTCCTCTTCTTTCCTTGTAGAGGGGAGACATAGACTCATCTCCCTGTGCAGTAGCATTCTAATTAGTTGGATTTAGGATTATGGCACATTTGGGGCATAGATAACAAAGTAACAGATTGGCCTTTGCCACTGCACCCCCTTCCCTATTCATTGGACAAACATGGAAGTTCACCCCCTTCCCTATTCATTGGACAAACATGGAAGTTCATGGAATGCAAAGGAATGAGCTTGGATGCAAAGGAATGAGCTTGGGTGAAGTTGGCTGAGGGGTAAATCAAACAGGCGTGATCTCCGCTTGCTCACAGAGTTTCTGTGGTTGGGCGGTAAAGGCTTTCCAAAGCACAGAGGAATAGTACCTGTCTGGGTGAGCTCTGCGGGAACAGTGCAGTGTTCTCGAGAGAGGGAGAACAGCCTGGTGTAACTTCCCCTAGAGGCAGATGGAGGCTTCTGCTGTAGGAAAGATGATGGGAACTAAGGGGAGCAGCTGCCGGGGAGCTGGTCTCCGAAAAGCCTGGGGGTAAGGGGGAAGGTTCCCGCAGCCCACACCCACACAGTAAGAGGTGACAGGCCACGCGGGGCTTGGATGATCATGTCCCAGAGTGCAGGTGATAACCCCAAGAGCAGTGGAAGCCTTTGAAATGCTTTAAGGCCGCAGTTGTACTGAGAGACTGTTGTGAGAAAAGGCTTCGTGTGCTGGAGTGTGTCCTGGTGAATGGCGCAGGGGGCGGGGGTGGGGGCTACATCTGTTGTGTGTGGGATGAGCATAAGATTGTGACTACTCTGGAACAGAAAAAGCTTTGAGCTTACCAGATTTCTCACCACCTATAAAGAGCATTTTCTTTTCAAACATGTACCAGTAGAGAAGAATTGGCTAAAAAGAGGATTTCAGGTTATTGGAATGAAACTTGGAAAAACTTTGTGGCACCTTTCTGAAAAGTGAAAAATATGAAGACCATACTAAATGTTTTTTTTTAAGTCAGTGACATACTATAAGAGACAAAATCTGCCAGGAACACTTGGAACCTCCTGCCTCAGCCTCCTGAGTAGTTGGGGTTACAGCCCACAGTGCTCTTTTCCTGAAATTTTGTAAAACAGAAAAGCTGTTGTAATACCAAGTATTTCCCTGTTGGGTCCCAGTACTGCAGGGCTGTCAATTAACTTGCTTGGAGCCCTCACTTAAACAAACAAACAGGCTTATCCACGCAGTCACTTGCCACAGGCTTCTCTTGGTTATAATTGTAGTTTTCTTTCTCACACAGGAGCTTAAATAATTTTCAGAGCTAGAAGAATTAGGATGTTTCTCCGCCTCACTGACTGAGCTCAGCACTACCTGCTTCAGGAAATGATTGAGGACAACCTGGAAGCTGAGTGAGTAGATGTTTTGTTTTACTCCTTAAAACAAGTGATGTGTTGTAACTTTAAAGTTTTAAAATATGTACTTTAACTGGGTTCTTTAAGTTGTGTTACTGAATAATAAATATTTTAAATAGTGAGCTTCTGGGAAAACGTCATCCTCTGTTGATAAAAAAGTAATGAAAACATTTTGTATACAAGTTTTTAAGAAGCATAGTGGAGATTTAGATGATTACTTAAGCATTTAAAAGCATTCTTTAGTGTTCGGCTTTACTTTTACATTATGAAGTGCAAAAGTATTGGTAAGAGAATTGATAATAGGTTTTTAAGTGCAAATATAGAAAAATTGTGTGTAAATGCAGGATGAAGTTTAGTTAAGCTGAAATAAATACCACTTTTGTAGAAATTGAACTTTAATAGTTCTATTTGAAAATAATTTTTATTTTTTTACTCTGTGGAGAAAAGGTAAAAGTTCATAACCAGATGGTAGAATAGCAGTAGTTGATACATTGCATGTTATCTTGGAAGAGGTTACGCAGGACAAGCTCTGGGCATAAATAACTGTCCGATGGGTAGATGTAAGCTCCAACCTTTTCTATGAACTGAGACAGTAATAGTGTAACTAGCTTGCATTCTTTTCTCTCTCTTCCTTTCCCCACCCTAGTTCCTTTTTCCTTTTTAACAGTTTCTTCGCATTTCACAATATCTGTTGTGCATTTTAGACCTTATTTACTCTTTCAATTTCTCACACCGGGGAGACAGTACGAGGTTTACCCATGTGAGTTTCATTTATTTCGCTGATGCGTATGGTCTCAAGTTGCATCTGTAAAAGTCTCAAGTTTATCTTTAATATGGCTGAGTAGTATTCCATTGTATAAAAATAACCATGTCTGTTTTCTCCTTTTCTTGGGAAAACAATGATTTTATAAAATACTGATGTTGCTGGGATTACAGAGTCTCTCTGGACTTAACTTTTCATTGATTGAAAAGCCTGAGCAAGAAGGGCACTTGTTTTTTCAGGTCAGAACAACTGCATAAGCATTAAGTTGTGCTGATATAAATGGTTTCTCAGAATAAAAATGAATATTCTTTTGCTGTATCTCTTGAAACTGTGTTGAGAAAGCTAGTAATTCTTGGGGCTGTACTGGATCCTTGAGACCCTTAAGTTAAAAACAATGAATAATTAATTTATAGAAGTCTTCCCAGCAATGGGATTATTTCATTTTGGTCCAAATCTGTGCTGTCCTGTTGAGGTGGCAGCTGCTGACTACACATAGCTACTGATTACTTGCAGTGTGTGCAGTGCTAGTGGAGATGTGCCCTGGCTAAAGTGTTCAAAGACTTTCATATTTCAAAGACAATATTAAAAAGATGCAAATATTTGATTAATTTTGAATGAATTTCATTACAGAATTTGCTTTGGAAAATAAATAAAACATGAACATTAATTTCCCCTCTTGTACTTCTATTCCCTTTTTACTGCTAGGAAATTTAGAATTCTTTATGGTTTGAATTTTCCTTTGGGCAGAACTGGTCTGTGTCTTTAAACCCCATCAGCATTCTTAACCATCCCTTGCTTAGAGTTTGTAGCACTGCAGCTTTATGGTCTGGCCTTCATAGGATCAGTGAAAGAAAGCCCATATGGTTTTCCAAGCATGATTATTTGGTTGTCAGGTGTTTCTTGAATCTTCACCATGTGCCGGTGTCACAGCACATAGTAGTCTTAGTTAAAAGCAACTACCTGCATTCATAGAGCTGACATTTTAGCAGGGAGACATGGATTAAGAGCAAATAAATAAGTAAATAGAGGACAAATAAATAGATACATTATAAAGCAGTAAGTGCTTTGGAGAACTCTGAGGCTGGCAAGGGTTGCAGGTACATTCAAGGAATGTCCCATTCAAACCACCATTGAAAGGGTGGTATTTGAGGAAAGATTTACAGAAGTGGGGAGGGGAAGAGCCCTGTGGCTAGCAGAGGGAAGCGTGTTGTAGGCAAAGGGAAGAGCAGTGCAGAGGCCTGGAGGCAGCAGCGTGCCTGCTTTCCCTAGTGAGAGAAGGAGGCTGGTGACTAGAGGAGAAGAGAGGAAATGGTCGTGTCGTGTGAGCAGTGCTTATTATAAGGGCTTTGGCTTAGGATGAAGTGAATGCTGTGATTTGCCTGTGGGATGGGGGCACTTGCAAGGATGGAAGTGGACAGGAAAGTGATAGGATTCTCATAGGTGGTGTTGTGAGTTGGATATAGGACGAGAAAAGGAGCAGCATGAAGCATGGTTCCAGAGTTTAAGCCTGCATCGCTGAAGTGTGGAGTTGTGTGTATTGTAGGAACTGGTTCTTAGGGGTTGAGACAGAAGCAGTTGGGTCAGCACTAGGGGCTCAATCTGGGACACATTTAGGCGTCTGTGCTCAGTGGTCAAGTAGGCAGAGCCTGGAGTTCAGTGAGAGGTAGAATTAAAGAGGTGCAGTGAAGTCATCCGCTTCTAACTATTACTGAAAGTCACAGGGAGGTTGGAGAGCATCAAGGGCCGAGAGCAGCTAGAGAAGAGGTGCTACCTAGACCTGAGGTCGGCCACGAGTGCCGCCCCCACAGGAGAGGGCAGGGAGTGGCACTGTGATGTTCTGGAAGCCAGGGGAAGAAAGTGAGCACCTGGTCAGTGCTGCTGGTGGGCCAGACCCCCGGGGGTGAGGAGAGAGCTGGTCCCTGGATGTAGCGGAGGAGGGTTCTCATGATGCTGAGAGCAGTCAGTGAGGCAGGTGGACAAGAGCCAGCGTGGAGCAGATTGAAGGGGAAGCTGATGGGGGGAGGTGGGAGCGGTGGTGAGAATGGAGGCCGGTGCTCACAAAGGTGTAAGTCAGTTTCGCAGTTACACGACGTACCTTCATTTGTTCTTGTTCAGTGTGGACATTCGCACTCTGATAATTACAAATTTGGAGGAAGCAAATGTTAAAACTGGTCTTCTTCACCTGAAACTATTGAAAACTCTGGTGTTTAGGGGTTAATTTGTTTTCCTTAGTCTTTTAAAGAGAATTATTGAAACATTTGAAGAAATTGAGGCTGAGACTGGCCCAAGGCCACACAGAATGGAACACTGCCAGAATATCCAGATTTTAGCTGTGATGGGGAGGACTTAATCTCTCTGTATTTCAGTCCCAGCATGATAACAGTGAGGATGTTTTTGCTTTGTCTACCACATGACATCTTCATAAAGATTGAATGAGGTAGTAGGTGAAAGAGCTACAAAGCATTCATTCTAGAAATACCAAGTAATGGTATTGAAAGTAAGCTAGGTTTCAGGATTTTGTCATAGTATTTGAAGTAACTGGAAAATAGTGGAACGAAATAAAGTCTGGGTTGAGAGTAATTATAATACCTAATATTAATTAACTTACAAGAAAATCTTCCAGAACGTGCTCTTTGCTTCTGTGAAGTCTTGTTAATGATCCCACAGCGTGGATCATGTTTGAGCCATCCTGGCGCCCTGTGGTCAAGAGCCTTGGCAGAGGTCCAAGGAATCGATCAGTGTATCCCCCAGGAGCCTCAGAATTACTGAACATCTGGCTATTTGGGGACTTGGTGACCTTACTGGCACTGTGTGGAAGAGTCACTCTTAATGGAAAGTATTTGGTTATGATGATACATTTTCTGCCAGCTTTGGAGAACATTTCTACATTTGATACTTGAAATGGAATTATAGTACTATATGTAAGAAGAAATTGAGAGCTGGGCTAACTTCTTTGAGTGATGATAAGAGGATAGATGGTTCTCTTTCTCAGTAAAGCAGTAATAAAACTAAACAAGATTGTCACAATAATAACTTCTGAGTACTGGTAACCCAAAGGACAGATAATAAAATTGAGGAACATAACTGCTATGCTGCAGCTTGAGTATGAAAAGTAGGGTTCTCTGACCTTTTGGCCAGGGTTCCTTTTCTTCCTTGAGGCTCTGTCTCAGTTGGTAAGAAATGCAGTCTGACTTGCAGTGAATAGACTCCAGTTAGAGTTGGTTGCAGAAAAAAACTCCCAGATTTTCTGGTGAAAAGTGGCATGTTCAGTTCACACTGGAAAACTTGCAAACTTTGTACTTTGTATTTTCAGTTTGCTGGTTTGGAGCCACAGCCAGAAATTTTAGCAGGTTGATTCTGGAAACAAGAGAACCGTGAAACCATGGCAGGGGCAGATAAAATCTCTCTGCCAATGTATGGCAGGTACGAGAAAACCCAGCAAGAGGTGAAAGTCAAGGCGAGCTCAATGTACCTTGTAAAGCCCCATCAGCCCAAGTGCAGCTCCATTGGCAGAGCATGAGGGAGCCATGCCAGTACAGGGTGTCTGGGTACCACCACTGCCCAGGTTACTGGCTGACCACTCAGCTTTGCAGACAGAGATATCCACAGTCATTAGGCATGTGTACATGAGCATCGTAATAAGATGTTGCTACACAGCTATACAGAATGATGGAGAGTGGAACAGTGATGCCTGAGGATAGTTTGGGGCTGGATTCCTGAGGAAGGGTCACGTTTGGGTTTGTGCTTGATCATTTCATGGGTGTATAATAGAACAAAACTCACCATATGGTATACTTGTATTTTATTGCATGTCAGTTATACCCACCACAGTAAAAATCATAAAAACTTATACACATCCTGCAAACCAAACATTCATGTCTCTTATCATTTGCAAAAACAAAAACTGGAGGTTATCCATATCAGTGATCCTACAATAAGGATGAACTTCACAAATACTGTACAAGGTGAAAGAATACAGCTTATCTGAAACTTTAGAACAGGCAAAACTAGACAGATCAGTGGCTGCCTGGGGCCAGGGCTGGCAGTGCGCTTGGCTGGATAAGCTGGTGTCCAGGAGCTGTGGGATCCGTGGACGTGGTCCTGGTGATGGCCACGTAGCTATTCTGACCATCTAGTTATACTGCTAAAGTGAGTGAATTTCATGGTGTGTGTACCAGGTCTCATGAAAACCATTGGGCAGCACTCAAAACTTTAAATTCTTTTTTAGAAGACC